TATAAAGCCAGGACTGTCAGTGGGCTGTAAAGTGGTAAAGTCTTATGTCAGGGTTTTCAACTTCCGGTGTTCCTTGCAACTGAAGGTGATGAGCTTGAGATAGTTATTTTGATTCGTGGCGACTGCGATGGGTGCCCAGCGGAGTAACGTGCAGGCAGGTTCTGGTCAAGCAAGCTGAATCACTCAAGCGACAAACAAAATTTATAAGGCTAAGTTGCTTGGGACGTATATAATACATGCCCAGTCACCGTCTATTGAAGAACTAACCATGAAGTGGTTGCGCGAAATGAAAGCGGATGCGGTCGAACTGGATGCTGTCAAATGTTTGCCCTCTCCTGCTTAAGATTTGGGCCGTTCTTTTCGTACGTGGATGGAAACTCCTCAGGACAAGGCATATAGGCCGTCTCACTGGCGATTATGCCAGCGCCTTCTAGGTAGACTATCCAGTTAAAGTTCGTCTGTCGCGTGCTGGAATCATGGGTGTAGACTGCTTGTTCTTGATCGTTCCCATCGAGGACATGGGGCGTTCTCCCATTACGGCCGAAAGGCAGTTAGACAGCAGTATTCACTGCTGTGTATCGCTGTTGATTATGTTGGTGACGCTTTACCGGTTTTACTGTGGGTCTTCGATCGTGAGCTGCAGTGGTCCGGCTCATTATTGTAACTGATTTATCCCCTCACCAAAGGCAATCACTATGGCGTAAGTTTCGCCTGGTCCTACCAAATCTGGTGTTCAGTGATGCTTGGTAGTCGATATTCTACTTCAACTCATCAAAGATGGAAACCCTTTCTTGATATTATCCTTTTGACGTGAGTTATGTGGTAGCGTTTCTCTAGGAACAGACTCCTGGACTATTAAGATGATTTCGGAGAACCTCGGAATGAGGTCCACATTTGTGGAGTAGTCGTACAGTTTGGATGGGATCAAGCCCCTACCTCATGCTAACAGTTAGACTAATCGATGTTGTACACAAGTTTGTCTATCAATCACGTGTCTCGGAGCCTAGAGAAAGACAAACTGGTTACCTAAAAGCGAATTTAAAAATCCGACCACTTCACCAACAAAATTTTTGAAGATTTGTATTTGACAGTCTGTCTCCGAAGCCCTGCATCGGCCTGGTGAGAAAGCCCTGTAGGGCTTTTGCGATAAGCACTTCATCTTTAATAGAGTATTTTTAGTGCCAAGAGATTTTGGAATTTTCATCGAGATTTCGCCCTGTAAGTGAAGTCAGTCTGTGCTGAGAAGCCGAGAAGCACTGTCTTAGTTGTCGTCAACACGGAAATTCAGTGTCTCGAAACCTCAATCTCCTAGTTAATAGTTTGAGTAAGGAACCTTTTGGCCACGAGCAACTGATCACCAGTGTGATTACATAGCTTTCGCCCGATCCACATCACGTAATCGCACCTTTTGACTGACACCTCGAGCAGTGACTTTGATGGGAGTGTGTTCTTTGTGTTCTTCCCCTGAGCTACTTCTAGATTGCTGGTAGTTTGGCCACCCATGGCCGAACTTTTAGTGTTCAAACTACTAACTGGGGTTCGAGACCCTCTAGAGTTCATCATCATCATCATTGTCAGCTGTAATAACCGCGTACTCGTCGTACTGTGGTTTTAGCTGCCGCAGTTTCGTTCACCGATGGTTTAGGGGGAGGGGTAGGTAGCTGCGCGTTGCAGGCGGGAGCTGATAAATTGGTGTATAAAGCCAGGACTGTCAGTGGGCTGTAAAGTGGTGAGGGGGATGGAAAAGGAGCTATGCATTGAAGGCAATAGTTTTGATGCATGAGCGCCATTGAGGGCGCGACTGGGCCATGTCTGATAATGTCTCTAGCCATTGATGTGGCCCGTCTCGGGGTCCCATCCAGGGCAACATTATAAACTCGACCCTTGACAGAGTTCCGTGAGATGCGCACTGGTGGCTGTTCCCACTAAGGATGAAACAAGTGTACAGTGCATCCAGGTTTTTTCAGCGTGGATTGGCTTCATTTACACGACGAAATCTCCATTAGGATTCGTTTCGCCTTGCGACATGTCTAGCTGAACAGGGTGGTCTAAACAGTACTCTTGTAGTAAAGCTCAAATGTATTGACCCCCGAGTTCACTTGCCCTCGGTCAGAATAGGGACCTCTTGATTGAAGCACGTCAGTAATCAGAAACACCAGATCATAATCACGTACCTGCATCAGAGCTCTCGCCTTCTATTCATAGTCGTAAACACCGACGGTCTGAGATGTCTTCATCATGAAGGTTTTGACTTTTACTAACAACTGCTGCAAGCTGTCGCCATCAACGCGCGATCGTCTCCAGTCTCACCTTCCCTTCATCGATGGACACAAAACTCTGGTAGCCGTAACTAGTGCACTCTGAAAGACCGAAGCTGGGCCAGGACCTTCCAGTGCCAACTGGGTTTGATCACTAAGTCACTCCCAACGGGAGGAGGAGGGGTGCTGAGATACTGCCAGGTTGATCAAGCCTAGACGTGAGCAGTCAAGATGCTGAGGTTGGATTAGAACCACGGATCTTCCGGTCCGTAAGCTGGCACTTTAACCACCTAGTTATCTCGAGCTCTACTGGGTCACTGGTCCTAGTCTACTTCCTCCAATCCCCACAGCTTTGAACGCCAGACCTAATTCGAAGAACGGTCAGCTCCAAGGTAGACACATGTTATGACTTTAACTTTCTTGCGCACTAGTTTGTTTTCCGTTTCCAAATAGTTCGACCGGAACCTCCCATTGGACCAAATGTTCTACTCGTCGTAAGTGGGTCACTGGTCAGTGATGGCGGGTCAAGATCTTTTGACTATCAATCAATCGACTACCATTCTTGGACGTTTTAGTGAAGAGGAAGATGGATGGGACTCTGGAAACCTGCGTTTACCGGGAAGAAATACATACGGATCAAATACTGAACTACAATAGTAATCATCCAATGAACCACAAGAAGAGGTACATCCAAACCCTTTTCAAGAGAACGAAGACGCCGCTGAACTATTCAGAGTATTCCAGAACAATGGATATCCAAGGAATTTTATCAAGAGAAGCTCGAAGAAGAGAACATCTGAGCATCAGCCACAGATAGGTCAAGCGACCAGACGGGTATTCCTACCTTACATCAAAAATATCTCAAATCACAACTAGATTTTTACCCCAAAAAGGTATCATCGTAGACTACAAACCGAATGCTACTTTGAGGAAACTGATTTCCAGACCGAAAAACAACCAAGACAAATTCCAGCATTGATCCGAGTACGAGGGCAGGGGCGGCCAAGCTTAAACGTCACGTGGTCATCGATCAATCAGGATAACAGAGCAATCAATGGAACCGTCCGACCGAACAACCAATCGCGATCGAAGGTCAGCCCCGGTTGGCAGCACGTATTTTAACATACACAGAACACTACTCAACGCACAATCACTGACCTATCGCTGCGCTCCATTACGCACCCTAACAATGTACTGATGTCACCTTGATTGCTGATGAAGCGTTTGCAATCAAATCAAAAGCTCAGCGCACAAACCAACGACCATATATGCTACCTGAGCTACTAAAGTTCTCCTCCATAGTAGAAAGTCCATGCAACTGAGGTACGAGGGTGAATTGGTACGGAGCCAGATGGCTTTCGTCTTGGGCAAACAGCTAGATAACTCTGGTTGTCTGCGTATGTCAACCTGCATCTAGAAGTGTTATTCAAGCGATCATTAAACGGTAACTGTAAATAAATAGCCTTCTTTTCTATGTAACAAGGGAATCAGAACAACTTCTGATCTACCACCGTTCCATAAAGCTCTATGGATAGCCCTTTTGCAGTGGTATCGCTTTCCGAAGTTTATGTTCTATAGATAACTTATCATACACAAGCCTGTCAAGTTGGATTATAAAGAGCACGTACCAATCAGGTTTTGTAGGGTATTGGAGCAAAGCTGAAAAGTGAACACATTCCATCTAAGCGAATTTGTGGTAAAATGAAGGTACCAGCTGTCTCTAAATGCCAGTATTTCGGCTCATCCTAAGACACTGAAATGCGAACGAACAGTGTTCATGGAATCCAATCTCAGTCCAGATTGTCCGGCCGGGGCAGAAATTAAAATATCAACAGCGTGAGATTTACGAAGAAAAAACAGTCGTTTCAATTATGCCACTTAAGATACCAGCTGATATCTGTCCACTAACGATACCGTTGGTTGCTTTGTGCGCAGTTCTTTCAAAACCAAATTGAATAATTTCAGTGAGATCACGGTAAGGTCTTTGAGCAAGGAAGTCTTCTGACAGGCAGTAAACTCACACAGGAAACCAATTACCCTACAACTAGAGTATCTGTGAATAAAGAGTCAGCAGCATTTCAGAACAGCTTTAATTTTAATAATTGATGCCAGGCATCTCATTCTGAAACTCTACAGCCTACCCGAAGCACGCACACAATATCCAAGCTCACTCACGTATTCCAGCCCGTTTCCTGTTCCCCAGGGTTTTCACTTACCGTTCGCAGAATATCCGATACCCCGCCCCGTAAAATGGTTTGTTCTATATGTGGTGCGAGCGTTGCCTCAGCCCTAGAGCCTAACGTGTGTTGGATACCGATAAGCAACAGTCTCCGTGCTGGTACTAAAGCCACTCAACTTTCTGGGAACAACGTACACCTCAACAGACTACCCCTAGCAGGTAGACGGTTTTGTTAGGTCCGTATGAGATTTGCTCTTAGGATAGATTATTTTAATAACACTGAACGTTAACACTTCCGTTAATTGGAAGTATCGTTTCCTAAGTAACCACTCTTACAGTCTCCATGAGAAATCATGAACTTCACGAAAGCACGCCGGGTGCTTCCACCCCGGCATTGGAATCCTTCCGCTAGAAGTTTGGAAAACAACTGTGCTTGATTTGACTGACTAGCCTTGGAGTGCGCTGGAACACTTTATCAGTGTATTTCGGCTTCAAATATTTCACCATCGTGGGTGTTTTAATGGCTCACTTTCCTCTTTCAGTCTCAGCCATCTTCGGAATTACTGCTTCTTTTCCCGATGTCTATCGACACTACTGCGATTGACCAACAACTGGCCGAATTGGAACTGTGTGAACTGTCACGGGGACCCCAAATACCTGGAGAAAAACTGCAATTTTCCACTGCGAGTCTTTCGACCCCGGAAGAATATTATATTCAGTTCCTTAGTTTGTATACTCTGAAGGGGGATTTTCTCAACGCGAAGCTTCTTTGGCAACGTATTCCCCTCGACATTAAAGAATCCAGTGACATTTTATCTACACTTTGGAATCTGATTCGATTTCTCATTAAGCGGGATCTTCCTGCTTTTTTCCACTTTGCTGATGGCGTGCTGAACGATCAGAATTATCCGGAGAGTTTCCGTTATTTGTTACGACAAATCTGTGATAATCAAAAGCTTCACGCTATCAATCTTCTGGGTGATGCCTACTCTTGTGTCACCATATCGTTTGTCTGTGACCTTCTGAATGTTCCGGAGTCAGAAGCCACATCGTTGATGTTCGCTCGAGGTTGGAAATCCTGTCCGGAGGGAACGTTCTTGTTGCATTCTGTTGATCCCTTGCAAAAAGTTTGTGTAGATGAATCCCAGCAAACGAACAATGACGATATTATGAGCAAGTTGGCCGATTTCATGTGTTTCATCGAAAATCACTGATTTCCTATTTCTGTACTAGTTTTTTACTCATGTCCAATAAATGCTCATCCTTAAGCACTTTTGGTCCTTGTTTTCGTTATTCAAGTTGTTTTTCGGTGTTAATTCACAAACTTTCCAGAATTTATACTCCCAATTTCAGCTATGTTCCAAGTGTCCATACCCACGACCGTATGTGCTGACTCCCCACACATAGATTGTCCTGTGTGCCCGTTCAAAGCTTACTCTCCGTTTCAACTTCGGAGGCATGCCATTTTGGCCCATTTATCCGTCTTCGAATCGGTGTATTGGAGCTCTCAGATCATTCCGCGCTTTACTTGTGAAGTATTCACTTGTGCATACTGTGGGGCGGCGGCCTCAGAAAGTGACCTTATCAAAGATCACCTGCACAGTGCTCACGCGAATATGTCTTCTACTAACACACAGGTAAACAACAAACGCTTTACCAGAATGGCGCTTTAATGTTTCAATTCATAACTGATTTTATGTAATGGTTACTGTCGTTTACAGCATCAAGACTATAGAAATAATTCTCTTGGTGAATACTGAGGCTTTATGCTCTACTTGTACCTGATCTCTCTCTCTGACAATGTGTGATTAGTGAATTTAGGTTAACGATCAACCAAAGCAGTCAGGATAATTCCCATATGTATATCAGTTTTAGGCTTCGGGCAATCCAACCAGATCGCTCTAGCATAAACACATTCGCCTGTTCAGATGTGATAATTCAAGTTTATCCAGCGTGCCCTGTTGTGGTAACACGCTCGCTTTGCATGCCTGATGTCCGAAGTTCAAACCCCGACACGGTCAAGGATATGCATTGTTGATGCGCTCTGATAGGAGCGAAACTCTAGTCCGGTTTTCCCCATTGGTGTGGATTGTCGAGAATTACTGTGCCAGGACAGTAGGAGGACCGTTCAAACGAGAGTGATGTGGGTGTCAAATCCTGACGTATGTTGTACTCCCAGCCAGATATGTGGAAGAAATAAACTTTGTCCAATCCCTCTTGGCCTGACCCTTTCAATACAACTTGGAACAACCGAGATGGTCCTGTACTTGATTATCCCTTAACGTGCTCACCATCAGTTGTTGTCTGTCAGATGCCAATCGTTTTGCTGAATAGTTTTCTTTCGTAGAACTAAATGAAGCATTTAATGTGATCTGACTGTCTACTTCATTAATATACCCTGGCCTTCATGTCAAGTTACGCAACTTGTTTTCTATCTACAGTAGCCCTTCTCCCTAATGGCTACAAAATGGTGTGGACATTTGACTTCTCTTCAGGATATGGTCGAGGTAAAGTACCATCCGCAGGATTGACCCAGCATCCTTTGCCCTACTCAGCATAAGAGCATGGCACAAGAACAGGCAAAATATAGTTTGGCATTCCGGTTAGGAAGTGGCAGTGTATATACCACTAGATTCGGTTACGTACCATGTCTTGCGGGGTTTCCAAGCGCCCACAAACAGTATCACATGGGCCCCACCTAGGAAGGCGCGAAAATCCCACGACACTCAGTTTGACAGTAACAACATCTCATTTGAAGCTGCCGTGTTGCCTGCAAACCTTCACCAAAAGGCGTGGAGATACTGGACAATATGGATACTGTTGTGATTCATGTGACCCTGCCCTTCACAATACCGAGCTTCGAATCGATGTCAGTGACGTCTGTTCAGTCAGCTCCATAAATTACCTAATTAGATGTTCCAGCTGTAGTGGTTGGTTAGCACCAGGCCCATTCCTTTCACAACAGGGCTTTCAACTAAATTGGCATGTTTGTACAGTTTACTCTTAAATATGACGAATGTTGCGATTGCTCTGATGAAAAACCGTTGACTCAGATTGCTGTTTCACAGACAGATCCACTTTTGATACCTTTTGTTCTCTGGTTAAGTGGGGGTCGAATGAAAATAGACACTTGACACTAATGTGTCGATACCGCAGTACTTAGGTTTTTCTGCGTCATTCAACTTGTTTTATCCTCCTTCTATTCAACAGTGTGCTATATTGGCACAACATATAGAACTTGGGCACCATTTAGATGATGGACTTGCCAGCGATTCCGATGAGGATCTTCCTGATCGTCGACCGTTCCTCACTCCAAACCGTACCACCAGTTCCAGTGAGGACGTTTCGGCGCTTGCCGAATTAGCTGAAACCGGTTTACGAGATCCGATTAATGCAACAGTGAATACCGCAAGCCATAAAAATTGGTCTCCCACTATCGTCCAAACAACTTCGTCAGCGAACCCGAGTAATTCACATATGTCGTCACCGGATTCGTCCACTAAGAGAGCCCCAGGCCTGACAGATCGGGCACCACTGGCCAGGCCTCCCGTTCGCAGAACTGGGCAAGACTGGTCGAAATTAATCGCGCGATCTGAGAAGAAGTTCATCTGTTTGCTCTGCAGGCGGTATATCTACAGCGGTCGAACCGAGGTGGTTTTCCATTCTGTCACCAGGCATCTGCTTGTGGTAAGTTTAACACAGCGCACTTTTATGTATTTGAGAAAAAGTGTTCAGCTATTTTGATTTGCCGTTCTTGTTCATTGGTTTCGCGAGTCTTGTTCCATCAGTGGGCTATCCTCATGTTGAACTGTCATATTGAACTGTTTTAAAATATCTCATCCTGGGACAGTTTTAAAACATTTTGACGCCGTTTGGTTTGTGTGTTTGGATTAAGTGTGACGGTTTGGTTCCTTAAATTCGGTACACGCAGTCACTATAATGTGCAATATTCGGATGAAGGAACTGCGTATCCGAAGTGGCCGTTTTGCACGACTCGGTCGAAATACAGGCTCGTAGTTATTCATCCAACGGTATCCTTACGGTACCTGATTCCCGAGTTCGTAGTAGAACAGATAGCTCCTGCCATTATGATTTACTTCTTGCTTTGGTTTCCGGTTACTAACACTCGGTAGTATGAAATCCTGCGGCTCCTACTGTTCGTTAATGTGCTTGTCTAACTACTTTTTAACACATCCTGTTCGTCTGATTCAGGCCCGTTTTAACCTAGAATGATGCTGTGAAGAATGGGGAGTAATTCGGAGTTTGAAGTGGAGCTGTGTGCTTTCTTCTTGGGAGTTATTATCGTTTTTCAAAGAATGTGTGAACTGGCAAATAGGCTATTTTTTTCTCCACACTGTGATTGTCAGTTTTTTCTACCTATACCAGGAGAACTCAATGAAGGTATACTTGATGAACCATTGCCTATGTCCTCGAATCGGCAATGTACGCATCGCGACCTCTAGCCGAACCTTCACAGTAAAAGTATTTATGAGAACATATATGGCACGGTAATTCTTCTTCGGGAGAAAATTTTCCTGGGGGAGACATAATGTACCGCGCGAAAGAATGCCTAACCATTTGTGCAATGACCGACAGGGTTAGTTTAGAAACGTCAGCAGCTGACCGAACACAGGTGACAATAGCTTGCGAGATGCCACAAGTACCACTCAGCAGTGGCCACCAGTGGAAAGATACCGATGTTTGACTTAGGTCTGTCATGTCGCGCCAGTAAGTTACATTCAGAACTGATTAATCTATTTGATGACGTCCCATGCAGCTGGTTGGTGATAGAAGTGAGTTAAAGTTGAGCCGAGTTCTTTTCATTCACGTATGCTGTGAATCTGGCGGGAGGTGTGCTAACCGAGTAACCCATACAGAGCGTCGATCGCAAAAATGTACATAGGCGGTTAACTGTTCGTAAACTTGACGTTTTCAGACGGCCGTAAAAACGTATGGTCGCCTTATCATGGCAGAGGGGTTTCTCTTCCAGATCACCGGTATCTCACAGTCATTCCAACCCAGTTTATTATGCTTTGAGTCACCCCACGTAGTGGTAAGACACCTAGCAAATATTTTGTGAAGGAAAACGAACTTGTTTACCTTGGTGCAGTAACGGTATTTCCCTCAGCTTATTTCTCGGTCTGAGCATCTCAAGTTAGCGTTCACGTCCAAACAACCACCAAGGGTGTTCAGGGTATATTAACGCCCGAACCGAAGTCAAGAACAGTTATACAGCGCTTCATATTTATAGCGTAAGTGGCAATAACTTTCTGGACATTCTGACGCATTCTGGATGCGCCATTGGCAACCGACATTCTGTCGGTCTGTCGAACGTCGCGGCTGTAATCCCTGCTCAGGCTTGGGCCTCCGACGAAGCGGCTGATTGATTTTATGGGATGGTGCCGAGATCAAAAGTGTTAAGAAGCATTTCTAGACTCGAATCACTCGGTCCTGTGGACAGGATCTGCATATCTGTCGGCCGGATTTGGTTTCTTTGGCTCGACCAACTTGAATCGCGTAGAGCACTTTGCTGCGCCGGCGTAGGATGAATCCTGGGGTCCACGTAGGGTATCTGCCTCTGTAGTCACGAAACAACACTCTCTAGCCTTCGCTGAATGAGCGCGCAGTTGCTCCATGATGCCGGGTGAACTGTTCCTCCATTCTGGTGTTGCGGTGACTAGCCTGCCTTTTCTGTGGCCGAATAATGTCATGCGGTGTACGAGGCCTCCTTCGGAGCAGTGCCTCTGCTGGTGACACTCCATCAGCTGACTTGGGGGTTGGCGTCGCTCGATATGCCAGCAGGAACCTTTGCGAAATCTCTTACGATGGTCCCTTCTTTCTGAACTTCTGAAGCGCCCGCTTCAGAGTGTCAACAAAGTGTTCCGCTTGGTCGTTCGACTGTGGATGAAACGGCGGCGAGCTGACATGTGTTATGCCATGCTCCCGACAGAAGTTTGCGAACGCAGTCGACGTGAACTGACTGCCGTTGTCTGATACAATAGTCTATCGTGTTCCAAAGCGACCGAACAATCATCGGAGTTCCAGGACTGTAGTGACAGTTGTGGGGCTGTTCACTGGGAAAATTTCCGGGCGTTTGCTATAAGCGTCGACCACGACCAAAAAGTGTTGGCCACCAACTGGACCTGCATAACCGATGTGAAGACGAGGCGAGGGTTCGGTCACTTGCGGCCACGAGCGTAGGTGAGTTTTCACGAGTGACTTGGATGCTTCAGCACACCCCAAACATGATTTTGAGATTTACTCGATCTGGGAGTCTATCCAAGGCCGGTAGAGGTAATTCCGAGCAAGGGCCTTGTTCCTGGGTGCCCTTTATGAAACTGGTTCAGGACAGCTTATTGTAACTTATTTGGGATGACAACACGTTCTGAAAACAAAAGGCATCCGTCGGCTAGTGAGAGTGCGTCACGCCGTTTGAAGTAAAGTCTCAGTTCGTCTTTTGGGCAGATATGCGGCCACTGATTGCGGTGGTAGTTAGTGATTTGCTGCAGCACAGGGTCTTGGTCGGTAGCCTGGCGGGCCATGTCGGCAGTCACTGGGAGGGTGCGAATCGCTTTTGATACTACGTGGTTAACCTCCGGTTCCGGGGCAGTTGTTGCGGTTACGGTGTCTTCTGGTTCCGGCCTACTTGAATCAATGAGTCGCGATACTGCGTCGGTTTGTCCGAGGCTAGTAGTGGACTGGTATTTGCTCTTGAAGTCATATCCCAGAAGCAGAGTGATCCATCGCTGGAGGCGGTTGGCAGTATGTGCCGAGATTCCTTTCTTCGAGCCAAACATAACAAGGAGTGGCTTATGATCGGCCAGTAGAGTGAACTGGCGGCCGTAGAGCATTTTATGAAACTTTTTGACGACAAACATGATCGTCAAGTCTTCCTTTTCCATCTGGCTCTAGTTGCGTTCGTCTGATGTCAGGGATCTGGCTGCGTGTGTGTGGCTGCTGTCGGGAAATACATGTGAAATCACTGTGCCCATTCCGTAGTTCGAGGCATCCAACGCCACAACGATTTCCAGAGATGGATCGTAGTGGGTGAGTAGCAAATCGGAAGTTAGCATGGATTTGACAGAGTCCAAGGCGCGTTGGCATTCTTCTGACCATGTCCATTTGTGGTCTTTGGTAATTAGCTGGTTCAGTGGGCCTCGGAGGCGATGCATGGCAGGCAGGAACGAATTGTAGTGACTGACGAAACCGAGAAAAGACCTGACGGACGCCACGTCTGTGGGTGCTGGCATACGTTTGATAGCTTCGATGTCCTCCGGGTCTGGTTGACGGCCATGTTCGTCAATGATGAAACCAAGGTACTTTATCGACCGCATGAAAAAGGTGCATTTCTCTCGGCGCACGCTGAAGCCATATTCTTGAATACGTGGGGGATGGAACGCATGACAACGAGATCGTCCAAATAGGCAGCAACAACGGGGGCATCTTTCAGCATCGTATCCATGATCTGTTGAAATATAGCTGGCGCTGTTTTCACACCGAATGGCAGTCGAATATACTGGAACAGACCGCGATGCGTATTGACCGTGAGAAGTTCACGGGATTCTCCCTTAACTTCAACCTGGAGGCAAGCATCAGCCAAGTCAATCTTCGCGAAATATTCACACCCATTCAGTTTCGCGAACAAATCGTCTGGAAGAAGCAGGAGGTATTGATGGGTATCCAGCGCAGCGTTGAGACCGGTGGAGAAATCTGCACACGACCGGATGGTCCCATTAGCCTTCTTCACCAACACGATAGGTGTGCCCCAAGCAGAGTAGTTGGTCGGTTGGAGAACACCAGCATTTTGTAGTCGGTCCAGTTCTTGGTCAACGATAGGTAAGGCTGCATACGGTACTGGGTGTTTTGGCCTGAAAACTGATTTGGCACGGGGGATGAAGCACAATCTGACTTTTGCTTTTGTGCACCGTCCAAGCTCGTTGGTGAATATGGATGCATAACCTTATACGAGATCCTCAAATGAACGCTTCGGAAAATGAGTTTGTTCGCGGCACCTCCGGGTGCTGCGTTCATGAAGTTGCAAATAGAATTAATTGGTTTCTTCAGCAGATTCAGCTTTTCGATCCAATCCTGCCCCATGAGATCAAGTTTGGGGCATGACGTCAGGTAGGACGTGCCTTGTGCCGTCGAGCCATTGAAGTTAATGGAGCAGTCAACCTCGCCGGTCAACTTCAGTTTCCCACCAGAAGCGTTACGGGCCCAATGTTCAGTCGGCTTTACGTGGCTTACCGATTCGTTCTCACGTTTGCTAAATGAGCCCGTATCAAGCTGCAAACGAACTGTGATGTTGTTGATACGAGCCGTCACGAACTTCCTTCGGCAAGAAAAATCAACTTTGAATGTCGCTGTCACCGAGTTGGACCGCGATTTGTGGACTGCATGGTGGTGTGCGGGTGACTGCGGCCTCTGAGATCTACGTAAATTTTCTCTACGGACACGACAACTGCACCTGGAACTTACGACACCTAAACCGGGAATAGCGGGCAAAAGCAACGCCAGCAACTTGTGGGAGGCTTGCTCTGTTTTAGATCGGGCTTGTCTCATTTTTTGTGCATTGGAGTTGATTGCGTGCACACAGCTGCTTGAAATGACAGGTAACTGGCCGATCATAGCCGTTTCGTGCTTGAGGTTGATGAGGCGTTGATATTCGGTGGTGTTTCTCATCTTTACGTGGTATGACATCCACGTATTCTGAGGAACACAGATGGATATTTCCGTAAAAGATGGCGATGAAACGGTGTTTTGATAAGTGACAAATAGTTCGATAGTTAATAAAACAAAGTCCACAAAATCGGTCGTAAGTAGAACCATTTGAACAGAAGTACAATGCATTTAGTAGGTACAAACTTTTGCAGACAGTTGATTTTGACAGATTACAAACAAAGCAGAGGAGGTTGACGGACAGCCGGAAAATGGAGGAGAAAATCTGAACACGTTTCCGATAGAAGTATTGATGATGCCGTTTCAAACTTCTGCGTAGCCGAATAGATCAGATCACCCTCTGGGCGGCCCTGTCGGTTTTCAATCTCTCCATTTTCCTAGGCTTCCGGTATAGGTGAGCTTTTCCCCCGGATCACCTTTCTTGTTTGTTCTCTGTCTGTCTTCCAGGATTCATTTTCAGAGCACGTGCGTGTATGTGTGTATGCGGAAGATAGCTTATATTTATTTTTGTTTCTCTACGTTCCTCATCACTCCCCCACCAATACCCAGAGCCAAGTGACAGATACGTTTTAATAACAGTTAATTTTCCGGCATATCGTGCGTGATCTCAACTTGCACTGAACAGTTATCTATACTTCTATAGAGGAGAATGTCGGTAGCTCAGGTAGCGTAGATGGTCGTTGGCTTGTTCGCTGAGCTGGGCAATTTGGTTGCAAACGTTTCATCACCAGTCGAGGTGACATCATCAGTGGGTAGTTGTGCGTAGCGGTGGGTTAGTGGATGTGCGTTCAGTAGTGTTACGTGTGTGTTGATATACTTGCTGGTAGCCGGGATGACCTTTGACCGCGATTAGTTATTCTGTCGGGCGGTTCCATTGGTTGTTCTTTTATCCCGTGTCCTCATTCGCCGATGCCCACGGGACCTTTGAACTTGGATCGAACTGGATCCAATTTACGGACCTCTACGTGCGAGGGGTCAACATCGCAACCGAAACACTCAAGGAGGACCGAATAATGGACTAACAAACGAAGAAACAAGGAACTCCTCGGAGTCAAATCAATAAAGGTCACAACGGAGCTCGGAAGGACAAAGGTCACTCCAACACCGACCAGACTACGACGGCGAGGGATGCCAAGTTCAAAGGTCACGTGGGCCTCGGCGAATGAGGACACGGGATAAAAGAACAACCAATGGAACCGCCCGACAGAATAACTAATCGCGGTCAAAGGTCATCCCCGGCTACCAGCAAGTATATCAACACACACGTAACACTACTGAACGCACATCCACTAACCCACCGCTACGCACAACTACCCACTGATGATGTCACCTCGACTGGTGATGAAACGTTTGCAACCAAATTGCCCAGCTCAGCGAACAAGCCAACGACCAGTTATCTATACTTCTGCCTAATTGATCAGATTTACTGCAATAAACTCCGTTCGTGTTCTAGAACGAAATTGAAAATGACTTGTCGCACTACGGTCGATTAACTGATACATTGAAACGCCAAATCGGACAAAATTTTGCGGACGGAATGCGCATACGATCTGGCGTGCACTACAAGGATGCAAAGCGAGTAGAGGCCGCGTTGTTTCGGTCAATTGAACTTCATATCCGCTTTCGTCCAGCGGACCAAGCTGAAGCAAGTGGAAACACCACGCGTTATTACTCGTGTTCTGGATGTGGTGCGACTTTTACTGAGCCCCAGGTAAATTATTGCTGCTGTCTAACTTATCGACCCACTCACGTTTTGTCCTCCGCATATCTGCCATAACTGCTGCTCCACCAGATAAAGTACTCGTTTCGAATCGGGGGCGCTTACTTGGCGCGTGATTTAATTTGAGATTGACAGTTTTCTGAGGTGTGTCTAACACTCAACGAGTAGTCATCACCGTACTAGTGGTCTCGATGTGTCGTGGTAATTTGCACTTGCGGATAGTCGTTCAAGTTGCATAGCTGGTTGCCGGCTTGTTTGGTGTGGGGACATTCTTGTTTCACGCCTTTCATATTCAGTCGAGATCATATCAGTAATGTACCTTTGAGTAGCGGTGCGATACCTCGGCGGTTGACGTTGCTACTATTTCAGCTTCCGCATTCAGCCGCCACTAATCAGGTAGACGATGGGGGTCATCGGGTGGAAGTTTATTGAAGACCAACAAGAATACATTAGCCCAAAATAATTCTTCAAATGAACCATTATCACCTCAATGCGATTTATCTGTTTGCCTCCACGGCATGTTCTACTTAATCCAACCAGTATCTGCTTCACATTTGTGTTGTTAAAACTGGTATTAATATTGCATTATAGTGGTGTCTACTTCTCTTTTTGAGTTTAAACACTTGACTCTGTTTTACAAATGTCTTTAGGTCGCTTACGCGCACGTGAACGATGAACTCCGTGCCTTCCTCCCTGAATTTATGCGAGCCCGTTCATGTCCTTGGTCGCTGAGTACTCGCGAAGAGTGGGTCTGGTGTGTCCCAGATTTACCTTTGGAGCCGTTGCCTCCTAAAACTCCACGATCTTCATTTGGCTCCGATGTTGGTGGAGGAACTACGTTGGTCTTGGGCGACAGAATTCACAAACCTGAGGCACAGCAACCAGTGCCAACTCAGTCGTGGGCTAGCAGTGTTACTATATCCTCTCCAGCTACGACCGACACAGCGGCTGCCGTGGAGGTTGTCAAGTCATTAGTTGCGGCTGCCGGCTTGTTACAATCTGCTACACTTCCCGCGACAGATAAGATGTCTTTGTCAGTACCAACTCTGACGTCCCCTATCAAGATGGAAACAAATGGGTCTTCCGAAGACTTCTTGGCTCAACCTTAACGAACTGTTCATTTTTTAGCGGGGCATTTTTTTATTTTATTTACCGGTCCTGTTTCCACTCTTTTTGCGCTGATAATCATGTCTTTTCACACAGTCGTTAGTTCCTCTTATTTCCTATTCGACTCTGGTTTCTTTCCGATGTCTTTGTTTTTCCTTTGTTTGCTCATCTATTCCGGTAAACGCGTTGTTGGGTCTCTTCTTCGCCCTGCTTCTTTCCATTAAGAAGTAGGTGTATACAATGGAATCGCGCTTTTGGGATCAACTTACACACAGTTCAACGGTAATTCAGCGGCAATTAAGCATCATACGAATCTCTTACCAGCATCAATTTCACTTAAGTTGTGAGCTCATCAAGAGATCGCGTATTTCCGCGAACGATAGGATGGAATTGGCTGGACTAAAATAGAATTTAGGGCTTCCCCAACTAGGGAAAACCCATGGAACCCATCAAAGTAATCCCTTCGGGGCAACCAACGGCTCCCAAATCAAATATACAGTTTTACAAGCAATCGGCTATATTTGTATTACGTACTATTCTACCCTTACATGATCCCGTTTGCAATGCGATTCTCGCACAATGAACGATGAAAATGGCATGCTACTAGGAATTCAAATGTCCTGTGTTTCCGCAATCTCGTTCATTGGAACATATACTATGGAACAGGCTTTTCATTATTGGACTGTACTATTTCACCAACCCTTAGACTGTTTGATTGCTCACTCAAGTTTCTTATCGCGTTCAAGAATCCTGTGGGAAGTTGCAGATAATAACAATCCCTGCAGTCAAATATGATTTATCAACAGCAGGATTGGCTTTTACTTTGTTGGCTGGTGTGCCCGTAAAATTCATGATCGGGATTCCAAAGTGAGTGAAATGAAACTGGCCTGAAATGTCGGCCTTGTGCTATTTTTCACGTTTGTACTACCAGATTGATAACTTCCTCATCTTAAAGATTACGCGACGAGCTGTAAGTGAGATTTACGAGTTTGACCTATAGTTTGATCAAGCATGGTTTATTTTCACAAATTTTTGTATAGAAGAGACTAAACATGTGCTATCGTGAGGCTTTGGTGGTGAGGAGGAGCGGACTAATCCGATCCAAAAGAGTGCGGATTAAGGCGCACGTAGTCCACGAATGTGCGCCTAGGTGACTGCTTGTAAATATATTCAGTGGCTTCGACACTTTTCGACGATTCCACTGGAGATCTTCATTCGAGGGGATAGACTCAAGGTGCAGCTGCATCGTCGTGACTTCCGAAAACGGAACTGGCGCTCAACAAACCAGTGGATTACACACGTTCATCTCTCTGGAGTTCACCTCCGACTATGTTTACTAGTCGGGAAATTTCAGAGAGTAAATGAGGTTTGGAAGCATATAAAAATTACATGTGCGTCAGAATTTCAACTACAATTTATTGGGATGTCTAGCACGTAGCCCTCAATTCTCGGTTAGTCTGGAACCTGCGAGGGCCGATGATTTGAGGAATGTACAGACCCCTTTGGGTCTTTCGAACAAACGTTCGGGGCAAATGATACGACGTCGTCTCCTTTTGTGGGGGCTGGTTCGGGCGTTTGAGGGAGTTGTTTTGTTTGTGCGGAAACTAGTAGTTCATGCCCAAGGGTTTCATCCTTCTGTCACCAAACTTCCGTTGTCCACTATCTAATGCTGGAAGTGTACATCGTTCTGGTTGGAAAATATTTCAACTTAAAAGAATTCTCGGTGGTTTTGGGACCCCCATCAACCTTGGAAAGCTGACAGACGGTCTTACTACTGTTTGATCAAGCAACTTATCGTGTGTTGCATGCTTTTCGATCGAGTACCTGACCGGCCATGAAAGAGGCAGTGACGGTAACTTTGCCGGTAAGTCTGTTTGTCTACGATGTCAATGCAATACAGTTGCCTAGCTTCCCCGTTTTCATAGGGGGCGGTAACTTATTTTTTGGGTGCCCCGCCATACACACTCACTCCAACTAGGTGAACTCAATTTTCCCAAATTACACATTGGCCAGTCATGCACGAGTGCTTCTTTGAATCATTAGACTAGGTCTCGGTCGAGTTCCCACTCAATAAGTCAGTAGTTTCCTAGCTTACAATTGAAGTGCTGTCGAATAACGTCATGTCAACATCATCTGTTTAAAGTTTATTAACGACCGAATGTGCTAGTGCAACGGATCGAACTTTTCACGGTCTGCTAATTAACCATCACCACCCGAAAATAAGGGCTATATACCTCACTACACAATGAAGACTGAAAAGCCTGTCATCAATACGAGAATTCAAAAATCTGCATACCTTTGTAGAACTCAGCTGATGTGTGTATGTCTGTTTTGTCCTGGCAGCGCAGTAAACTTCGGACCTAAAATCTTGCCCCCCCCCAGGAAGGGTGCGTTGACTTCAGTACCTTCTTACTTTTGTTTGTAGTGGGTTTAATCGCGGAATCTCGCCCGTTTCGGCTTGAATCTCTTCAGTGGACATTTTATTACGTAGGAATGAACACTGGTGCATATTATCTTGTTTCATTTGTCTGAATCTCAGAATCATCACTAACGTTAGGTCGTGAAAAATCTTCCTGGAGCGTGAACCCGACTAACTTTGGTAGGCTTCGCAGCATCTAAACATCGACCGTCTTCGGACTAATATGGTTCATGAAATCTACCAGAACACAACGAAGGCTTGAAACCCTATCTCTTTAGGCGGATACAGATAGGCCATTCTTTATTCAGTGTAAACTATTCTGTTTACTCATATGTGAACTCCATCGACATTTGTTCTCACTGACCGCGAAATTTTCTATCACCAAATAGGTGTATATATTCGCGATTACTGATTGCCTCTGCAAAACTCATCAGGTTGGATCAGTCTATTCCATCTTGCTGCTGGGAATGTTACACCGATATTCCTCGTCTTCGGGCTCAGCTATTGTGCTTTCAGGAGCTGAATTCCTTTTCCTACTCGATACACAACTTAATAAGTGCTCACTGATGGGTCACTGAAGACAGGCGCAGTTGACTTGTTTGTCTCTCCCCGTTCAGTTAAGTAATTATTTCAGCAGTCAGCTTACCTCCTAATAGGTCCCCAAATATACGATAAGGATAAAATTGTTCCACGTAGATATTGCTCTTCCAAGAGCTATGAGTGTAAGTGGAGATCATATCATCGATCCTTGTGAAGTTCACTCGCTTTTCGTACGTCTGATAGTGAATTTGAAACTTCAATTATGGATCAAGCCCGCATACTCGACGCACTAGTGATCGGCCCGTTGTAGCTGAATGGGAGTTTGTTAAGCGGTCAAACTGGACTTCATGGTTCCAGGTGTGCGTGCTACTGACGATTCCAAACGGGAGACAAACAACTACTTTGTTTTCTCCCTCGGTTTGCCTTCCGTTACATGGTGAAATCGACAATTAGGACTTCACCAATCGGTCATCTAGCAGTTGTTCCTTGTCGTCATATTAAACATAATTGTTGAGAACATCACTTTTTCGAAGTCTCCTTTTCACCCCACTTATTTCTTTTCCCACTACATGTAGTCAAGGGGATAAGGTAGTTGTACTTTGTGATTTGACTGAATCAGATTCACCAACGGGATTGTAATTATGCAAACGCTTTTTAATCCGCACAGCTGTTCAGCGAATCGTATGAAGCATTGGGTTGTTTTGATCAAAAGGCCGCTTGGGTTTACGACGATAACCATGGTGTATTCGATACTACGCCGCTTTGGATGCTGATTATCCCAAGTTCTCAAAAACGAATATCAGTATTCCACAGTTTTCATATCGTGCATATTTCACAAAATACGGACGTGAATATGAGGATATTCGTTTACACAGAAGGCCAGACGGTAGACGGCACGATGTCTTACTTTCCAGCTTCTCTTTGCGTCCAGAGGAGCCCATTGTTACAACTGGTTTTGAGTGACGTCCAATCGACTTGCCCTCTGAAACCAAGACGATCCCACTGCACCCAATCCAAACGAGCGATCAGGTCTGAGTTAACGGAATAGATTAAAAGTGGCCTAGGCTGTAACCATCGACATTATATGGCGTTCGTCGCATAGTATTCCAGATATGAAAGCAAAAGTACACTCACAATCTTCCTATGTCACTTCTTTGAGGTTGTCCTGTTAAAAAATGCCATCGCATCCACATGGTTTAGCGAGCTAAGAGGAATGTGGAACTCAGGACTGAGTGGATGTAGGGTGGGCGTACGTGGTGTGGGTCAGATAGTAACTGCTTCAGCTCTGTACATCACCAAACTGAAATGAGTGTAGAAGTGAGTTTACTAAGTTCGAGTTGTATCTGTAGTAGAAGCAAACCAATGACTTGGTTGAGGGCAGAGAAAATCCGAATGAACAGGTTCTCCGAACGGGTTTCCGCGACCTATACTCCAAGTCCCTAATTGTCGGTACGGTACACATCCTGTGAAGTTAAACCTAAACCACTATTTCTATCACTCCTGAAACCACTTCGAAGCAAACCAGTGAGTGCGGTACCACGGCGCAATGTATGGGTTGGAGTTGCACTCCAAAAACGCAAGCGAAACCGGAGGCCTCCTGCTGATTAAAGGAGGACTAGAAAAGTGTTGATGAAGCACAGCTGTAGCACCCATTCGGTGCCTAACTGTCGTGCCACCCGAAGGTTGCATGAGAGCTGGGATACTGCCAGGTTGCCCAAGTCTAGACAGAGGAAGTCGAGAGACAGAGGTCGGGTTCGAAACCCGGACCTTCCGGCCACTTGAGCCATCTCGCCCATAAATAGACAATCAAAACAGATTAGTCAGTGTGGTAGTGAATAGGCAAAACTCGAACTCCATAGGACAAGTTGAAGGTGGTGGCAATGACTTTATTATCCAAAATTATGAAGAAATTATCAATACTCGCAAATATACCGACCGACCCCACGTAAGATCGAGGGATTAACTGTTGAGGGACCGATGTTTTAATTTCTGTGATGCCGCACTATTCCTGAGTTCGGTCAACTTCACGCACTGTGCGACCGCATTGCCACTCTGGTTTTAAGCAACAGACGAGGATAATTGGCGTTTAGTATCAATTAAAATTAACAACGGTGTGGCCCGCACACCTTATACTTTCATCCTGACCAAGCTCTTACATCCTAATAGTATTTGAAACTGAACAAATTTTGCGCTGCCCAGGATGACATTAGCATAATGCTCGTCTATGAAAGCGTGAAACTAAATGGAAAGTGCAGATGTTGTTCTTTTGGACTGATATTCAACCTAACAAAGTGATTTCCTTTTGAACATAAGTTGAGATAGAAAATATTGATGAATCACTTGATCACCGCCATCTACAAAATGCTCGGAGTTGTCAAAGAACTACACGCCCACGCTTTAGTGAACAGGTAAAAATAAAGTTGGTTTTGAGGTCACTTGTCATTTTGAATGGACGTAGCTTGCATTTTCAAATATCAGAACCGGAAGTTCCCACATGTTATTCCTCATCGGCCTACTTTCAAAAAGCCAGTTCTTCCCTAACTTTCTAACAACTAAGAGATACTGGTGGTTTGGTACGGACTACGAGTATGTAAAGTCTGTTCGGGTTAACCAGCATTCCTATAGAGGTTTCAGTGAACTTTGTATATTCAGCTTCAGTGGCGTAATGTTATGCCACAACTCGCTACCGATATCACATCGATTGAGATGAAATAGTCTTTACAAATGTCTATCTCAGGCTAACTTTACATCACCAAACGTACCTTCAATTCTGATGTTCCTGTATCGTAATGGAGACAAACCAGTAGCTGTTACTATGTGTACTGTTTCAAATATCTTCTCGTGTACCCTGCCTTACTGTATAAGTTAACGGATAGATCACCGAATTTATCACACCATGCACAAAAGTATGGTCGTGCGGTCTCCAGATTAGGAGTGCGGAGTGTGAGCCTGAACTTCAGTTGACCGCATCCCAATGCCCACCTTACGGGTTTTGATCAGAATGAAAGTGTGTGATGGATTGGCTTTCCGGGATCGCATAATTTTACATTGTGATTTTTGGAATTCACTTTCACCATTACTTATATTTCGTGACGTGCCCTGAACATTTTTCCAGCTGAAGAGACTGTGGCTGGAAATAAAGTTGTCCTCCAACATGTAAAAAATTCAGTAATGAGGCGTTGCCGATCTGTTATGCTTGTGCAATGGTTCTGTTGTGTTCACTGTCAGAAAAAAAACGGGAGAATCCATTTTTGGGACCAAGTACATATGGCTCTGGCGAGTATCTTTAAAAGTATTATCTCATATCTCCAAGTCTTACAAGTGGAATTTTCATCGCAACATAACAGATTGGCATCTACGGAATTTCCGCGGATTTCTAATTTTCATTGATTGGTACCCCGTTTGGAAATGTCACTCTTATTTCAGGAAGTGCTTCAGGAAACGCCAGTCAATTTGCTACCCGAAACTCTATTACTTACTGAGTTATTACCAATATATGTGCTTGCGTGACAAGTATAAAATTACTGGTACCGTACCCCGACGCTACCTCCAACTTTTCTATTTTCAGGGACTGTATAAGGTTTTGCTTAAAAGGACCCACATATCCGCAAAGTGTCGCCGTTTGTGATGAGTTTCGGCATTTTAAATAACACAGATAAGGCAAGACCCTTATTACGGGGAAACTTCTACGGCAAGGAACCACCGGTTGTCTAGGAGAAGTGCACTTTTGTTTGACTTTGTCCTCACGCCTCTTCAAAAATGAACTGCACTGAGCTTTTCATCACGGCTGAATTCTCCGCAGCCGCAGATGGATTCCTTGCAACTTCTAACTCCATTTTGAAGGATTGTTGGTTAACATCTAATTCGAACTTGTTTGTCAACAGCAGCTGGCAGTGGACACCGGCGCGAATCTGACAATAAGGACGTAACCAGATGCGCAGCTGCAGCTGAACTCTTGAGTCGCAACTAAACCTGGACAAATAAAATTGTCGGTAGAGCTATAAAGTATTCATTAAAAACTGTCGGCCTGAATTTTCTCATACTTTACTCGACACTGGTACATTGTTTACCATTAGACCGCTCGAATCACCAGATTTTTCCCTTAGGTTTTGGCATAATACTAGATAGCTCCAGGAAACCACTGTAGTCGCAATGGGAAGCCGGTCAGTGTGGATTCAGCCAGATAACACATCGTCACTCTAAGAGCTATTGGCGGCACATGATTTCCCGTTGGAAAATAAAGAAGGCCTAAGCTATCAATTTGGGTTTCACGGGAGACTCGACTGAATCTCTCGTTTATGGTGTTCTTCAACTGAATGTGCTGCATAAGGGCTGCCTCAGGGTCCAGTTGATATGATGTTTGTGATAATGCAGTAAGTATATTTTTACAAAGCAAGCTACTCGCAAGGTTACTGGAAACTCTTCGACAGCTCACAACCGATTTTGCGCTTCTGGGGTTCATCAGATAGGCGCAATCCCCAAGTTTCCATCAAACTTGTGTTTGACTTGAACCAAAATTGGACGAATTTCGAATTTTGCGAATCAAGAGGAGCGAAACCGATCGTGGGCCGTGGAAGTTTTCAGCAACCTTGTGAGTATTTTCCTTTATGGAAATATACCCTCGTTATCTGGGATATCGTACTGACTGAAAATTGAGACGGTCTCTGTGCAGCACATTCATAAACGATAAACCGAACTGATATGCAAGTGAGTGTGTTGACCGAAATCTGTCCAATTTGTGTCCAGGGTTGACGGGAACTCGGGGATTACGCTTACGTGATGAGCTCTAAGAAAGGCGAATTTGATGGTGGATTATCGAAGAGTTTTCAGCAACCTTGTGAGTAGTTTCTCTTTTTCCCTTCCCTTTATTCTTTCATTTTACCTGACCTAATTTGCCTTTGTGGCTGGGTCAGCATAAGAAACTTTTGAGACNACATCACATACGGCATTCCTAGTCTATCTCAAACTGATTCGCGTACTAGGAAGCAATCATGAAGGTCCTGAACATCTTGCTCTGTGCCATATACAGAATTTCATAGAAACGTTTGATGCTTTATACACCTGTGCGCATTCCACGCTTTTCTCATCTTACTTTGTGATGCCTTCTTTTATCACATGGATTTCATCTGCTGTAGCAGCTTGAAGGAAACCGGCACATGATGAGTCGCTTACTTGAAAATCTGATGACAGTACAACCAAATGCACCTCTTTATATTAGCCTAAAACGTGAATTTATTTTTCGCATCAGCTGTAAACTGTAAAATCTACACCTGGTCCTCCGCGCACTGTTCTTTGAAGGCACTGGTTTGTGCTACCCCAAGAAACAACACAATTTTCTGGGTGACAGCTGACTTTGGGCGCTCTCATTACTGAAAATCATCCGTGAATAAAGAGGAGGGACTTTGAGACCCGTTTGTTTCTTGTGGAATCGCCACAAAACTGAACTTACCACTAGTGTACCAACTTAGGAATCTCCGTGTTGGTGAGCGTAATCGGTTCAGGATGAACGAAAACACGCCACATCCGGACTGGTCGTTTGTGCTGCAATCCATATTGGTAAGCATATCGTTGAGGAGAGCCAAGTAAGCTATTGCCAAACGCAACGTATCTATTTTCGAAAGCCTCCTTTCGTAGGGAAACGTCGGGAGACGTTTTCGTAGTTCCTGTAAGCGAATAATAGTACGCTAGTTAGGTGAGTTCTGAGGAGAATAATAATAATAAGAAGGCTGAGTTATAAACCGTCCACCCAACGGCTTTGAGAACCAGGAACCGTGAACTAAACCATTGGCACCTTCTAACTCGTTCGTCGTTCATGCACCTTGGTGATTCAAAGACTATGTTCCAAGAAATGAATGCAAAGCCCATGATCACCTGAAAAATTGTCAGTGTAAATTCTTTATTTGTGGGGTTTTGGGTTTCGTCTAGTAAGATGGAGGTGTCCACTTCACTCATCATGTTTTTCTGGTTTTCTACCTAGATTGAAAAGACTCTGATCCTGAAAACTTCCTGTCCACTGATTGCGTGTCATATGTATCCTAATAACACAGTACTAGGGTTGTCATGGCACCGTGACGTCATGACATATGTTCAAAATTTCGTAACGGAATTTCGCACGCTTCCATTCGCGTCGTTGGGAATCTAATGCTCGAATTCACGCACTAAACAAAGCCACTACCCAAACTGCAAAGTTCAAGTAAGCTGTTGCGTTACTCTTGATTCGAAGAGCTGGAAGAGAAGGTCTCCTATTCCGTCACGTTATTCCATGTTAACCTGGCCTTAGACTCCTCGGGTAGATACTATAAAATCACTTGTTCGTTTGTAGTTCGTAACATCAATCTGTTTTTATTCCGTTTTGCAGACTAAGGTCCGATTCGTTAGTAAAAGTAGGACGTCTCATCCAAGGGTGAATTCGAAGAATAATCCTACGCTCAACTGGAATTAGTACTATCATAATTCCTGAAACTGCAAACGCTTCAACGGAGAGTAAGACGAGTGACCGAAATCCTGACAACTAACTGATTACGCCACACCTAACTATATACGCACGTTTGACAGCCCGAAATTAACTGAGGTGTCCGAATATGCGTTTCTGAGACATGAAAACGGCTGAGGTACCTCATCTTTCAACTTTTCATTTCAAATACTATTGTGCTTCTGCCGTTAATTCTAATGACATGGGTCAGCTGTGCTTAGAAGTTCACTTTGCGTAGCGTGTGCATACATTCTAAGATTACCGAATGCCTTTTAGGAACCGAATGGGTAACGAATGAAACAAATTGTCTAGGCCCACTAGTAACCCCTTCTCGATAACTGGAAAGGAAAACGAAACATCTTCCACAGATTCCGAAAATATTATGCAGTAATCGGTAACAAGATATTGATCACTTTGTGAAACTGCATGTTGCCTGGGTTTTGCTTTCACGATTTTTTCGCTCATTCTTTGATCGCAAAGTGTGCGCTATGAATCAGCCTGGTAGAAACCTTATGAAACTTCTTTTCTTGAGTTGCTCAGTAATTAAAGACCCCATGAAAACCCCGGGCCTGATAATCTACGGGTGTACTGGTGGGCATTGGAGTAGTATGTTTTCTCGTAAATCCGCTGCACGTCTCTTGAGAAGTGAGATCTATTACGCAGTTTGTGGAGTCGCTTTGTAGCATTTGCTTGCATTTAAGTAACAGTCAATGAATATCCAGGAACGTTCAGGAAGACGCGTTCGAGGAGCAGATGGATATTCAGCTTTTGTAAATAAGATACATAGTAGATTTCTACTTCTCTGTCCAATAATCTGTAACTCTTCCTTTGGCGTTCTCCAATAAACAAATCCGCAGCGAAAGGCCTTCTCCCTTTCATTTGATACCGTGGCCAGGATCAGGATGAAGATCCTGTGGCCACAACCCCTTGAGGATGGGGATGTTCAGACCTTCCTGGAGGACTTTGAGGTTGCAGAGGCTGCTGGATTGGATACCGGCCGGGGTAATGTGGCAGCGCTGAAGACCCTCCTCAGAGGCCAGACCAAGGCTGCCCTGGATGCGGCCAGAAGAGGCCCTGGGAAGATGGATTGGGCCGCCGCGAAAGAAGCCCTTGCAGCGGAGTTTGACACGCCTGCTATGAGGCGGTGCAAGATGGCCTGGATATGGCCCGAAAATGTTCTTCGCCAGCCTGCGGAAATTGTTGGATCGGGCTTTGCCGGGACTGGACGGAGTCTCGCGCCACTAGTTACCATCCGACCAGTTCGTCGAAGGTATACAACCAGTGATTGGTGCCCCGTTGCGGTTGGTGACAGCAACCGCTCAGTTGAGTAGAGGAGCTGCTGTACCTGGCACGGGAACTGGCCATGTTGCAGTCGCAGGAGAAGAGGCATGGTTCACCAGTGGAGGAACTGCAGACCAGAGTGAACCAACTCCCGGAACAGTTTGCAGCCGTCTAGACAAAATCGCGGAGGCACGCTCGAACGAGCCAGTGCTACATGTGCGGCAGGCTTGGCCACTAAAAGAATCAATGTCGTTCTGCTCGACCACTTGTAAATAATAGAATTTTAGAGTACTCCTTTGTTCCGGGGTGGGTCGCGATTAGCACACTGACACAAGCTACTATGAAGACGTTGTCGAGGTAGACGGACAAAGGGAATTACTTTTGATTGATACAGGAGCAGGCGTATCGCTGGGGCGAAGAGGGAACCAAGCTGAACGCAGACCGTGTGCGCTAGCCGTGAGAGCAGTGGGTGGATATCGACTGAAGATTGACGGATTGTCAACGCACTCGTTATGCCTAGGCGACAAGTCCGTGCAGCACGCGTTCATCAGCCCAGACATAGAACAGACAATATTAGGGGCGGATTTTCTCAAGAGCAAGATTCCGTGATTGACCCAAAGCAGGGAAAGCTGGTGACAAAGTATGGCGCAATCAAGCGTGTAGGTTACCCAGGCGCTGCCGTGAGTGAATTGCGTGTCCGAAAACCTCCGTCTTGTAATGTACCGTCAATATGGGCCGTATTCGAGGAATATTCCGAACTATTCACGGGCGATGAGAATCCGTTCGGATTCTGCCCGTGGATTGAACACGAAGTTCTTCTGTCGTCAGAACGTTTTCGGCCTTATGGCCCCCGTCCGTTGCCGCTCCATCTACGGAAGGAGGTCGATAAACAGATTCAGGAGATGTTGAAGAATGGCATAATCGAAGAAGCCAATAGTGCGTGCAATTCCCCAGTTGTGCTTGTAAGGAAGGCGAACGGAAAATACATGTTTTGCGCTTGAATGAACTGACCGTAAATCGGGTTGTAGCTTGCATTCGGTGATAAACAGATTCAGGAGATGTTGAAGAATGGCATAATCGAAGAAGCCAATAGTGCGTGCAATTCCCCAGTTGTGCTTGTAAGGAAGGCGAACGGAAAATACATGTTTTGCGCTTGAATGAACTGACCGTAAATCGGGTTGTAGCTGTGCATTCGGTTGCAGAGATTTTCGATTCCCTCCAGCATTCCCGATATTTCACTGTGTTCGACTTGCGTTCCGGATACTGGCAACTGCCCATCAAGGCGGAGGACCAGAAGAAAACGGCGTTTACGGTTGGGGACACCCAATATCAATTTAGACGAATGCCGTTTGGTTTGTCTGGGGCCCCATTCACCTTCCGGCGCTTGATGCGTTGTTTAACGAAGGGACTGCAGAATGTTGCCTTGTACGGAGACGATATCGTTGTGTACAGCAATTCGGAACCAGAGCACGCAGTTCACTTGAAGACTGTATTGAAGCGGATCCGGGAGGCTGGTCTGCGGACAAATGAAGCTCGCCCGGAGTTCGGTGATACTGCTGGGGCATAAAGTGAGTCATGGGGAAGTTAACCCACTGCCAGAAAAATTGGCAAAGATCGAGGATTGTGCTGTTCCCGGTTCAAAGCGGTCTCTACGACAGTTTCTTGGAAGAGCTGCATACTACAGCCGGTTTGTTCAGGATTTCAACGCGATTGTTGCTCCACTGTACAACTTGCTCGGGCAAAATCCGAAATTTGTATGGACCAGGGAAGCACATGAGGCATTCTAGCGTGTCAAGGCGCGGATGATGGATCAGCAACTGACCCCCAAACTACCCAGGGTCGGAGAGATGTTCACTGTTGCAACGGACGTCAGTGATCGCGGTATCGACGCAGTTTTAAAGCACAGGAATAGAGTTATCGAATATTCCAGTCGTGTCCTGACTAACTCTGAACAGAAGTACTCGACCACTGAGAAGGAATGTTTAGCGATCGTCTGGGCCCTGGATAAGTGGAGACCATATCTGCTTGGGCAAAGGTTTCATGTCGAAACCGATAACAAACCCCTGGAGTGGATCAGGACCACCAGAGATCCTCGAGGGAAGCTCGCACGCTGAGCGCTCCGGTTGCAAGCGTACGACTTCACAATCCAGCACGTGCCCGGTAAGGAGAACCACTTGGATGATTGGCTATCAAGGCCAGAAGCTGAAGATGAGGTCCCCAAGATCATGATTGGAACCAATGGCCTCGTCGTCGAACTGGATCTCGGAAAGTTGGTGCAACTCCAACGGCAGGATCCTGTGTTACAAAGGTTTGCAGCCGCCTTGTTGGATGGGAGGAACATTGAGAACGGAGAGGGAGACAAGGAATTAGAAGCGTTCCAGAGTCACATTGATCGGCTGAAGCTGAATGAAGCTGGCATAATTTCCTGGAATGCCACTGATTCGGATGTTGTGCTGCCCGTGATACCTTGAGTCTTGAGACGGAATCTCATCGTTGAATGCCATGAGGTGGCACATACAGGGTGCACCAAGACATACGACCTACTTCGGCAGAGGGCCTACTGGCCCGGGATGAGAAGTGAGCTGATGGATTATGTGGTGTCCTGTAAGCGTTGCCAACCAATGAAAGGGGATACGACAGGGGCAACCCATCCCATGGAACCTATTCCTGTCTCAGAAATCGGTGAGTTGTGGTCCGTTGTCGTCATGGGCCACCTTCCGGTGACAATCAGTGAGAACCAATACATCGTGATGGTGACAGAACACCTGTCGCGATGGACTGAGGCGGCAGCTGTGCTGATTCAGCGGGCGACGACGATCAGCGAAATGGTAATGCATCACATCGTGACCAACCATGGGGTGCCAAAAATGATCCTAACCGATCAGGGGCCTTGCTTCGACAGCGAAGATTTTAGGAAGCGCTTGCAGAAGCTGGGCATCAGACGGCTAAGGACGGCACTATGCCACCCACAAACAAATGGCCTAACCGGACGATCAAGGAGTGACTGGCGGCCAAAGGAGGTGACTGGGAAATGAACTTGCCAAGGGTGTTGCTAGCTCATCATGGTTCCATAGGAAAGGACTGGGCAGAAAACTGCAAGTATAAAGGCACTAGCATTCCCCATAGGCGCCAAGGTCAAGTTAAAGGATCATCAGAATCCTGGAAGGGGTGGACTGCGGTCGCGGAAGCTAGGCAGTCGATGACAAGGTCCGTTTGTCGTTGCCCACCGCCGGGGGAACGTCTATAAAATTCAAGACGGTCGGGATCAAAATGAGTAAATGGAACGCAGCTTCGTAAGTGGCATGATACACCCGAGGAGCGGCCGAGTAGACCCACTGCCTAAGCCGACCTGACGGAGGTAACTGAAAGTCGGTGGCATGCGAAAGACGTTTAGAGAGGGAAGTTATGCAATAGTGAATACTACTGATGAGGCACGCGAATAGTGTCTTCTCGTAAATCCACTGCGCATCTCTTGAGAAGTGAGATCTATTACGCAGTTTGTGGAGTCGCTTTGTAGCATTTGCTTGCATTTAAGTAACAGTCAATGAATATCCAGGAACGTTCAGGAAGACGCGTTCGAGGAGCAGATGGATATTCAGCTTTTGTAAATAAGATACATAGTAGATTTCTACTTCTCTGTCCAATAATCTGTAACTGGTCAGTTGGCATTTTCTAATAAATAACTCCTCAGCGAAGGTCTTCTTCCTTTCACTGGTAGTATTCATCAGTAACCGAAATTTCTCGAACTTATCATGTCATCCTGGTTGAAAATCGATGAACCAATATTCAAATATTTTCTATCTTGTCTCAATAACCGGGCCCAATAACTGCCTAAGGCCTAGCCGTGCTACATGACAAAAGCGACATATTGACTACCGAACTGAAACTCATCGGAATGGAAGAGATAAGTTTGGAGTGTTTTTGTGGCTTTTCCTGGCTGTAAAGGTCTGCACAAGTTTGTGAGTTGGTTATAAGCGTGTCCGTCAAGAGTTTCCCAGTTTTATGCGGTTTTTTACAATAACGACACCAAGAAACAACAAAACTTACGCTGGCAACTCGTTGGGCGTCTCTATTTTCCGTTTTACTCGCTTGTTTTTTAGTTGCTACCAATCAGGCTGACATTCTTTTCCTTATTTCACACGCAGTTCTGCCGCATACTCTCTCGCGAATTGTCCTCCTCGCTGTCGTTTAGCGACGGAGTGGCTGGAATGCCGGTGAATGAAGAACAAGACGAGACGAAAGATTTAGCAAAGCCTTCGTGCACACCACCACACAAACAAAAGATCAATAAATTCCGTCCTTATTTGTCCAAACGAACGGGCGCTAGCAATCCGCACAATATCTCCACCAGTTCTTCGCAGGTCACAGATTATATCTATAAGACATTTGTCGAAGACGATGGAGTCTTGGAACTGGAGTACAATATCCAACTGGAAGAAGAAGAAACTTCAGCCGAACCTTGCCGACAAGAGCACTTGAATGGAGCGGCTGAAAATACTCAGTCTACAGAAATAGATACTCAAACGTCCAATGCCGTGGAACCGTCAACTCCAGATTCTAGTTTATCAGGCACCGAGATTTTGAAAAACTTATGGATGAAGGAGTCGAAATTCGATGTGGAATCGTTAGTCCAGGTAAGCAATCATTGGGGTCCATCCATTGCTTTAGTGTTTAGCACACGGATTTCAAAGAAACCAGTGTTGCTTTAACCGAACCTGTCGACAAAATAGCGTATGAAACGAGTTATTTTACAAATCCCTATATTGAAGAACAAGATATTATCGAACTGGAGACCGGTCCTTCTAAACAGTTATGCTTAGATCAGGTTGCCCAAGGCTTCATTTACAAGATATCGACATTTTGTCCTCTCGAAGATGAAGCTACTGATACGAACAAGAAGCACATCCTACAACCGATTTCGTCCTTCTTGAGTTCATCAGACAAGCTTCGACTTCGAACTGTGGTCCATCATATTTCTTAGCTGCGCTGCGTTGACCAGTCATTCGCACTATGTCCAGACTTCAATGAATCTCCAGTTGACTGGCGTTCTTCTGCCGATCACAAGGCGAAATATGAACTGATGCTTTGCTTAGTGAATACAGTCATCGTATTCTCATAGGTACAACGTAAATTGAGGGAACTATGAGAACAGGAGTAACGTTTAAAAACAAAACTGACTCGCAACGGTGTCAAAAATATTTCCTGAGCGTTCTGGAGGATTTTGTTGTAAACCCATTCAGACACGAATGGTGGCCAAAAGGGGAAAACTTTGGCACTCTCTATATATATATATATATATATACCAAGCTATAATTTTACAACCAGGAGGCCTCTTTTATGAATTCCGAATTCTTTCTTGATTGAATGAATGCAAACGAAAAGTTCCTAAGTATTCCCAAGGGTTTTTAGTCCTAGGATTACCTCTCTGGGGTGACCACACTAATTTTACTGTTCTTTTTACAACCAGGAGGCCTCTTTTATGAATTCCGAATTCTTTTAGGCTTGAATGAATGCAAACGAAAAGTTCCTAAGTATTCCCAAGGGTTTTTAGTCCTAGGATTACCTCTCTGGGGTGACCACACTAATTCAGTTTACTGTTCTGAATCACTCTGATGGCTGAACTGTAGTCCTGTTTTTATATACGCTGTTTTGAGCATAGCCGAGGGTCGTGACGCACTGAGTCAGGAGCTGTGACGACAGTAAATTTTAATGATAGTTGTTGACGCACGTGAACGAGCTGAGTGCCAACAAGTTTCTGTGGCGCTGTTGCCATGGCTGATACCGAACAGCATGTGTTGCCAATGCGAGGAATTTTGAGTGACCTTACGTCCTAGTCGCAACGACTGTATGAAAAAGGCTTATCAGTCACGACTTCCTTTGTGTGAAAGGCCGATGTCCATGATGGTACTCAGCCATTTACTAGCTTATATGTAGTGCAGTCCAATATAAGTTTAGATATCTAATGATGAAGATTGCGACAATAAGTTATCCTCCACAACGTTAACTAATTTAAACTATTTTGCTCTGGAATGTGGTTGAAAAAATTCGAAATTTGATTATCCTGCGCATCTGGAGCCTCTTTTAGCGCGACCCAAAACTGAAAATGGCCAAGATCCTTTTAGACTTGTATTTACAAGGTCTGGTTCATGATAAATAGAACCTACTCTAATTTCCCCTTCGTCAGTTCACCCTCATATGTATTTCATGCGCTTAGTTTGCGGCACAAACATTTGTGCTACTAGACGGCCAATATACGTACACTGAATTTCTCTCAAGCCTGTTATACTCACGGAAAATCGAGGACATTACCAGCCAGACAAATAACCACACCACATCCCCAAAGTTTCGATGCACACAGCATGTAAAGGTTACATTTTTGTCATTATGATACTATGTCCTTCTCTTTCTCTCCCTATTTAAAATCTCTAACACGATTTTATTCCCGAGCGTTTTCGCCGCGTGGGTCAGGCTGTTAGACTTTCATAAAAATGAACCCATTTCTACTAACGGATGTTTTGCGTTCATTTTAAACGTCACAATAGTGAATTATACTGTAATTCGGTTGCTTAATGTAGCCGATAAACTGTGGCAGAATACAATGTACCGCGACCTGGAGTGTTTGGCAGAACATTTGCAACCGTTTTCGGGAGACTACTTAACCAATAGAGACGCACGAGGGGTTTACTATGTGATGTTCTATTCAGAAATCCAACCCTTTCAATCATATTTAACTGCCATATGAAATTGAAAAAAAATCACGAAAGAGTAGCCAATGTTAGTTAATTTTTGAATATGTGTATTTTTTCACCACACATCTAAATGCTCTTCCAAAACTTCATCGCAGCTCTGAGTAACAAAATTTATACGTAGTCCTTCAGAAAGTCTACTCAGAAAAAAATGTGAAATCCGAGAAGCAGACAAAGACACTGACACCTGTCATTGGGCAAATGATAACCTAACAGCCCGGGATAATAAATGGCTTTGATGCGAAGTCGTGCTTACCCACCAAACCTCTCTAGTCAAAGTGAAATTGACGACGACTTGTGGAAGTCACCTGAGGGTACTTACGGAAATTTCAGGTTTTACTTCCACGTCACTCATGTTTGAACAGTCTTTCTCCTGTTCTGATACGATTATTCTGGATGATTCCTGTGTCTCGCTTTGGTGTGAACCAACCCCTCCAACCTTATTCATTGGACAAAAGAAAAATCTAGTTTGGACTCACCTCAAAGGCCGAATTAATGCTGATCATCCGCCGTCTTTCTCGCACCTTGGCACCCAAATCCACCGGGGAGGGACTATTTGGATAGCCGTTTTGGCAACGTGAATGCCCACACAAGATAAAATCAGAGTTAGAGGTTGTACCTTTGACCTCGGTGGTCTCATACTCATTAGCCGATTGTTGCGGGGTGTAAGAAAACGGATCTTCATCTAGCGGGTCCTGGGTCTCGTACGCTGGTTCAGGGCCATCTGGATAGTTGTGTTTGCACCAGCTCTTAGGCTCCGCATCAAGGTCGTCGTGGTCACGACTCAAGACATTGGAAGTCATGCGCTGAGTTCCACCTTCAATGAATCCATGGAATTCCTGTACTCTGCGGAAGTTATAATCGTTGACAGTTGCCATTGCTGTCCCATTCTTTATCCACCAGATGGATTCGCTTGCCATTAGGAAGCAACGTGTAAGGGGAATCCATCAGGCTTGAGAGGGTTTAAATAGGTCTCTTAAAGCAAACAACAGAAGGTATTGTCTTGAAACAAATCAGACGAGCTGTCATTCTCAGCCATCCTGAAGTGCTTGCAGGGGAAGGTGGGAAACCACTTGGCGCAACACCTAGTCGAGTGTTTGCGGTTGGAGAACGCTTTAATTGTGTCATGTGCAAACTGTTGAAACGTACTATCACCGTTTCAGAGGTAATTCCCATGGTTTATGTGTGTTTTTGGCGTTCGTGCTGACAGGAGAACAAACAGATTATAATGCTCGAGGGCACAGCGACCAAGCTTTTTTCTTTTTCACCGGGTTATTCGCTTAGATGAAAAAAGACTCGGTATTAAATTTTAAGACCGATGGGGAGGTTGTATTTGTGTTTCAGGCTGATGGAAACAACTAGCGTCAAAAGCAGATAAAACGCCATCTGCTAAACGGGATAAATAATTGTGATGGTTTGCGCTCATCATCAAGAAAAGGATTCTAGCTCCCCGAAATGGACTGTATTTTCTCCATTAAGAGACCCTACTGACTGATTCTCCGTCAAATGTAAAACTTATCCAACTTTATAAATCATTCACTCTGTCCGACGAATCCTTCACGTCCAAGCAAAATATTGTTCAGTAATACTTGATTTCTACGCGGTGCAGTTTCTCCTGTTATTCGAGGATGTTGAATATATATGAAGATAAAGTATGTGACTTGTGGTGGAGCTAGTATAAAAGCGCCACTCAGTTGTTAGCGGAAGCTAGAAGGTAAACAACCAACTACTGCTGACAAACTAAGCCACCTGAAATTCTAGTTTACATACATGAGAACAATTTAGAACTTATTGTTTCAGAAACCAGATTTGTTTGGGTCTTCGGGATTATGCGCCCTGTGATCTCAGAAGGATGGATTTTTCGGTCATCAAATTACCAGTTCCTTCAGAGCTACAAGAATTTCTTTAACAAGAGGCTAACATTGGTGAAGGAGCACTTTGGCCTTCCCTGAGAAAGACTCGGGATAATACAGAATTCAATATAAGCATACCAGATGGTTGGTCAAAACTTCGAGACCTTTCGGAAATTATTTTTTTATAAAAATTATCAGTCTTCGACTATGTTCGTCTTGTCGTATAAACAGTGCAACATAAGCTTTCTGTGTTGCCTCCAATGGTATTCAGTAGCCTAAACAACTCAGGAGATTCAACATAGTGATCCTTTCTTGTTTTCAGCTCGCTCCTATCAACGGGATGACCGTGCGAATCCAGCTTATTCCAATGCAAGCGGTAGGTGATAACCCGAAATGGTGCTGACCAGTGGACAGGCAAATAACCATAGTTCGTATTTCAAAGGAGATTCAGATACGCAGCCTGGCAGTTAGCAGCATATGAACGTGGTGCTGTATCACATCTCGCACAGGAAGTCAACTGCCTATAACCGAATGGGAGGGTTCTCAGATATTTGTCAGGTAGAGGTTTCGCATCTAACCATATGTTCGTGAGAGTCGCACTGCCTATGACCCAAAAAGAGCTAAAGCTGCTGCGTGGTGCTTCTGAGACTTTTGGTACGGGTTGAATTCACCTTGTTCCTGGTCCTTTCCTCAAAGATCCACTTAGTATTGAACCTCCCCCTTCCTTTCAACTCCTTACTAGGAAAGTAATTAAACAATGTTTCATATCAGTTAAGAATCGGAGCAAATCACCGACAGTGATTCTTTATCCACTGATATAAAAGACATCGTTTATTGAAGCAGAAAAGTAGGAACGAAGCACCTATAGAATGATTACTAACTTTCTCAAAGGAAGCCAAAGTATGGAACCGAGATCGAGGAGCTCAAGATTGTAGTGTAAGATTAGGATTCCATATTTGGATTCGGACTCGTTTAGATATAATGATCGGGTTCTGAAAAGCTCAAAAGACATCAGTGTCTTCGCAAGTGTCCTAAACCTGTTTGTTCGCAGTTGTAAGACGACAATTGAAATAAGTTTTCCTCTCTAATTCCTTAAACGTCTACGCTCATACAGACCAAGTGCGTCATGGCCTTTTATCGATCCTAGAAAATAAGACTGTGAACTCTAAAGAGGTGTTGGACTGATCTCCAAAGAAACGGGAAATTCGGGAAGAACGGTGTGCTTTGGCACCCTCGAGGAATGGCCTGTCTTAGGGAAGGCCCCGTGTATACCTGTAGGCAATAAACTTTGTTTGATAAGCGACACCAATCCCTCGGGGAGAGAATACCACCGCACTGCAAAAATAAGATCATTCGATGAATTTTGAAACGTACCGAAAAAACGAAATTAGTAATCAGGGGTATTCAGATTCCCAAAAACTCCGTGCATTTACATAGATTTCACATACAGATTGAGCTGAATAATCTGCGGGAGGGAAACATAACATAGGGCACGTGTTAGGCTGACAGGTTATATGTTATCGAGAAGTACTTGTGTCTGACTTTAATGCGGCACAGTCGGAGAGAATAACTGCCAAGAAGCACCATAGGGTTGTCCAATTCGACACGGGACCATCAACAGTATGCGTCTTCCAAAAGCAAGCCAGTTATGAAAGCGTCGAAACCACACTAGGGGATGGGAAATCAGGCGAAAAGCAGTAGGATTAGTAAGCACATAGGCAGCATCAAGCGAAAACAATCCTTCAGTAACGCACACAAAACCAAGAGGTTATGTGTAAAATGGCGCACCCGCAAGAATTCTCAGAAATGAGTAACATTCAGATTGCGCAACGGAAATTCAATTTACAGAAAAGGAATTATCCCCGCACAAAAAACAAAGGAAAGCAGTTCAAACGGAGAAATAATTCACACGATGAGTGGACCTTCCATTTGAGAAGACGTTACTGGAGGAGCCAGCCCATCAACACGTGATTTGGATGCTGTGATGGAAGGATCAGTGGTACTCTATCCAATCTGAGTGAAAACTAATCACGCTGCGGATCAGCCGCTCTTAGCCGAACGGTTGTATTCAACCAGGTTGAATTCAGCCGGGAGGTCGAAGAACCCATTTGAGTTCCGTAAGATGCGCACTGCTCCTGATTCCAAGTAAGGATGACAGAGCTATATACTGCTAATCCGCCTCTCCCCATGTAGCGGTCTTAGTTGCACGAAAAACTCCTAGGGACATCCCCAAATATACTCACGCTATCAACAAGGCGGAAGTAGATCAAGAGAAAGAAGAAAACCACTCAACCAATGAATAATCCATTCGAGAAGACACCACCCGAGCAGCCAGCCAGTCAACACGTGACAATGTCAGGTGGATCCCGTGATTGGAGGAACAGTGGCGCTATATGACCGTAACGAAAATACTGGAACTTACCGCGATGCGACGGTTTGTGCAACTCCATAACCCATTGAGCTATACTGGGGATGTGTGCGTCTCACTCACAGAGCCTCTCATTCGAGGTTGTTCAACGGATAGAGGTTTGACCAACACAGACTCCTGGTCTTCTAGATGGGGGTTAGAACTTGCTAATTCCTCCTTAAAAAATATAGAGAGCTCCGACAGTTTTGTGCAAACCATGGCTGCCCTGCGGTTAAGCTTTCGAGGGAGAACCTTTGGTCGATGAGCCTAATCGTCCTCCTGTCTATATCTGGGAGCTCTACCAGTATTCCAACCACGAATTAAACACCTACAAAAAAGTCCTTATGCCACATCGGTTATCACTTGGTTGCATTATCCGGATCACTCTACTAGCTGCATACAGGAGGGCGAGTAATTGAAAATAGGCTGTACTAGCACTCCCTTCTTTCTCTTTCATATATTCTGTCTTCTGCCCCTCTTCAACCTGTAACTAGCGTCATCTCCATACACTCATTTTTTAAGGATTGACAGGTCCTTTAGCCGCCCATTACCACTAACTGTAATGTGTACGGTTAACTCGGAAGCCACGGCCACAGACGCTTAAAAATCACTCTCAAAACCATGACCCTCAGCTGATCTGGCAATCTTCAAAGTTCACACTCTGAAACAAGCTGACAGACTGCTCGGTCCTTTAGCCGCCCATTACCACTAACTGTAATGTGTACGGTTAACTCGGAAGCCACGGCCACAGACGCTTAAAAATCACTCTCAAAACCATGACCCTCAGCTGATCTGGCAATCTTCAAAGTTCACACTCTGAAACAAGCTGAACAACAGACTGCTCTTTCACGTAGCTGGATTCATTCTCTGGTGACGTGAGCAGTCTGTCTGAAGCGCGGATTCAACACCTAAGTATGGTTGTTATGTTGATTTCCCAGTCAGTTTACGCTCAGTTCCAGTTGCGCGCGTCTGGTTATCCGGAATTCGCTGCTGCAGGTTCCGCTGGAGATAATGTATTAGTTGAATGACTTCCTGTTGATAGTCGCATCTGTATGGTTTGCTTGGCAATGTCTGTGAAAGTATCCCGTAAACGTGCCGGTAATCGCTGTTTGCCCATGGTATCAACTCAATAACTCTTTACAACGTATAAGGCGGCCTGCTGCACCGAGATAAGATCTCGGATGTTGTGGTTGCCAAAGATATGAATGCACTTAGCACTGCTGAACCTCAGATAGGTTATCGCCTTGGACTGGAATGGAACCGCACGGGAAACAGGGAACGCCTGCTGCAGCTATGCGCTGAACACAGACTGCTTCAGTGTAGTAAAACTCCCGACTGGCATATGGTGCCCACGCAATTGAGAAAACCTGAAACAATAGCAAACCACATCAACATTAGCTTCAAGTGCCGTGGGCTGATTATTGATTGTCCCAAGTTTTGAAACAAACATGAAGATCTAGGTCACGAGCTTGCCTTCCCCTGTTTCTCCTACACACTTCGGGGGCGAAAGATCAACACACCTCGTCTCGTCAATGAGAAGATCTCCGACTCTGATGTGAAGCAAGCTTACTAGAATCACCTACTAAAGTCCTTATCAAAAGAACAAGTCCTCCGATGT